GCAAGCCAGCCAACCGAGGGCGGTAAAATGGCACCCAAATTTGAAGGCCCTTACATCATTGCAGCCGTCATCAAACCGGGAACTTACAAGCTCAAATGCCCCAACGGGACCGAGGTCCCCCGACATTGGAATGTACACCATCTAGTTAGATTTTATCAGTAATGTTAGAGCGGCCAAGTCCTCATAACTAATGAATGTATTATTCTACGGCCCAAGGCCTTAAAATTCGAAGACATATTGAAGACACCGAGAACAAGAAACAAGATACATATGAGCGGCCAAGCCCTCATGCAGACTCCTGGCCCAAGGCCTTATTGCAAGACCCCTCTGCACCAAGTGCCGAGGGTTGACACTCCAATCACCTACGAAAAATAATGGAAACACCGAGTGTTTTTAAGAAGGCCCCTCGGTACCAGGTGCCGAGGGTACGTGCTCCTATCAACTCCAGACAGCGGAAAACACCAAGTGTTTCCTTTTGAAGACCCCTCGGTACCAAGTATCGGGGGCTGAAACAAACACCAAGTGTTGTTTCTGAAGCCGTACCCCTTGAGCACGCATTCATACCGAAGGCGCCACCTATCAGTGCCGACAGCACGTAGTGCCCCCGGCCATTTGAAACTAGTGTGCAAATGAAAACCCTTCCTTGAAATGCTTTCCGCGCCATTACCCCAAAGGTATGGCAGGCAACTAATATGCCCAGGATTCGACTTTCAAAAACGAAACGCTTTCCGCGCCACTACCCCAAGGGTGTGGCAGGCAACTAATATGCCCAGGATTCGACTTTCAAAAACGAAACGCTTCCCGCGCCATTACCCCAAGGGTATGGCAAGCCACGAACTATGTCTCGTGCCCAGGGAACGACTTTCAAAACTGAGGCGCTTTCCGTACCAGGTTACCAACGAAGAACCTTCGGCAAAATCAGCGACCAAACCCTCAGGTCACGGATAGCTCTCGGCGGCAACATTGCTCTTCACCTCAAACTAAGAGCTCACCTTTTTTGATTCATCATTGGGGGAACTCAGTGCACTCTTTTTCCCTCATTAGGATTTTTTCCCAAAGGGTTTTTCCTAATGAGATTTTTAACGAGGCATCCCCCAAAATGAAACGAAAAAGCGCAAGCCTTCGGCCCCGCGATGAAAGCAGGCACCCCTCTACTCCTCTTCACCACATTACATGTGCCTCAAGGAGTGAGGGACTGGAGGACCCCTTCGGGAAATTCACAAAATAACAAATGTAAAAATTTTCCTTCGGCCCCAAGATGTGGGGGAGTTAAAGGACTGCCATCGGTAAAACATGCAAACAACAACTCCTCACAACTCCGCGAACTACAAAGCAAAACACCAGCATCAGAGGACAAACGCATTTACTCCTTTTCCCTCAAGTACCTTTCGACAAAAGGAGTGAGGGACTCCTGATGGAGTATATGGCCTACGGACCCCCGGCCCATAGACGCCCACTACTATAACAAAGGTCCAATAAGCCCAGGAAGCACAGCAGGCCCAAATCACAACGCCCCAAGTGCCAAGCAGCCCACGACGTACACTTGGGTGCCTTCGGCCCCCATAGCCGAAGGCTCATAAACTTACAGTACAGCTGTTTTTAAGCACTCGAAGTTATCGGGAGAAAACGGGAAAAACAGTAGCCCTCGGCACCTAGAGGCCCCCGGCTTGAAGAGCCTTCGGCTAATCATCTACAGCCAAAGACATCTTCCTCGACAGAATCTCCCATCCACATGCGCTGGATCAACGTACCAAGTACAAACGTCACATCCAACCACCGCATTTAATGCGGCCACATGCGAGTGTCAGTGTCACCCAGTTGAGATGACCCCTCGACCACCAGAATAATGACACATGTCCTTATCTAGCATTTATTGCTGCTATAAATAGCACATCTTTCCTCATTTGTAAATCACGCTCAATACAACTAAAGTTCACACAATCGAATACTTTCTCTCTCTTGCTTATTTGCTCTGACTTCTCTCTAGTTACTCCCCGTAGTAACCCCTCGGATAAGCTACCCCCCGAGTACACTATCCATCAAAGCAATATATGTATTTTATCTTTATCGTTACATTTTTTTATCGTTTCAAAAAACTAAATGATTACTAATAGCATCACGTGCAACACACAGGTAAAAATCTAGTTCACAATAATAGTGAAAATATATATATGAAAAAATAGATAAAACTACTCCCTCCATCTCGAGTCAAGATTCTCACGAGGTTTACATTATTTGATTGGCCATAAAATTAACTAATACTGTCAATAATAACATTATTTTTTATAAATAAAATTTACATATTCTCAAATTTGATAAAAGTTAAATATACAAAATAAAAGATTAGGAATGATCTTCTACGTTGACCAAATAATAGTGAACAAGAATATTTACCTGGGACGAAGGTTGTACTAAACATTGTGACATTGATTTGATTGTGTGGGTTCATTCATAAAAATAGTGTACCAATATTTGAAATGTGTACTTTTTATTATCATCAAACATGGCACAAATTCTTTCACGGGTGGAACAGGTTAGGCTAAGCTTTTATCTAAATAAGCCGGACCTCTTTTAGAATGTATAGGCCAGAGCCTTGCCTACTACAGTACTACCTATTAAAGACCTCTTTTTTGAGCATGAACCTGGCTTTAAAAGTACTCCCTCCGTTCTCTAATACTTGGCTAGGGATGGACTAAACCGGGCCGGGCCGCTACTGTGCGGGCCCAAACCGGACCGGTTGGCCGGTTCCAGGCTTTTAGCCCGTTTGGGCGGGTCGGGTGGGTCAAGCTCAGGCCCAACTTTTGTTGAACCGGCTCGGGCGGTTCGGGTCAGGCCTGGTTCAATTTTTTTTTCTTCAATTTTTTTCTTTCCAAGGGTAGGACTGGGTGTTTTGGGGAGGTTTGGGGAGTAGGGGGTGGGGGGTCGGGGGATAACAAGAAAGACAAAAAAAAAATTGAACATGGAACCGAGCCCAGCCTGGTCCGACCCGGTTAGGCCCGGGCCCGGTATCAACCCGGGCCGATTCCGGGCTCAAGTAATTGCAAAAAAAGCCCGCCCGGGCCCGGCTCGAGTCAATCACTATACTTGACCCTCTTTCCATTTTGGGATGTTCTCTATTAGTTGTCTCCTTTTCCACTTTTGGTAAATTTTTTCAATAAATATACTCATTTACCCTCATTCTCTTTTCTACTTTTTCATTCTCTTTCCTACTTTTACCTTTACACACAACTCACTACACTTTTTATCCTACCCCTATTAATTCCTTCTTAAATATTGTGCCAAAGGCTATACTCCCATCTATTAGAGAACGGAGGGAGTATTTAATAGGCATGTTAAGAAAAAATCAAAAGTTCAAAAAAAAATAAAAATAAAAAGTAATAAATCTTTTTAACCCGGTATAAAATTTATCCCCCCTCCCATATTCATTACAGAGTCTATTAATACGTCAGTTATGTAGTTTATAAACTTTTACATGCCTCAAATCTCAAAAAAAAACTTTGAATGTCAATTACCCTAATAAACTATTGACACGTTTTATATATTTCAAATAGTATTATACTACGTATTCTAATTTATAATACACTAAAAATACTATCATGCCTAATTTCTTATAGTTAAGTATACTAATATGAATATAAATGTAAACAATAACAAATAAATATAATTATAACTAAATATATATACAAACAGAGTATTCTTCCTGTCCAGCCGGCTTGTAGGGGAACCGCCGTCCGGCCGAGACTGTTTCGAACCTTTTCCGGTGAAATTTTTTGATGCTTTTTTAACACGTTCTTCATCAAGTCTAGATTATCCATACCAAATTTCAGCTAAAAACTCAACCAAGAAGGCAGTTAAATAAATTATTTAAGAAAACTGCGCAATTAAATATTTATAAACTGCGCAGTGGTTTTCAAAAAATTATTTGACTACTTTTCTGATTGAATTTTTAGCTGAAATTTGATATGAATAAACTATACTTAATGAGTAAAATGCTCAAAAAGTTTAATAAAAAATTCCACGGGGAAGGGTCCAAAACAGTTTCATCCGGACGGCAGTTCCCGTCAAACCGGCTGGACATGAAGATTTGACTATACAAACATACATATACACATAAATAGGTTGACCTGTTAAACTAAAAAAGCTTCAGAGTTGGACCAAGTCTGTCCTATTTAGATAAACGAGTTTCTTGAAAAGCCCAAATCTAGTTTGATTATTAAACAAGCTAGGTCAGGCCAAACCAGATCTTAAACAAGCCAGAGCACAGACCCGTGACTAGGGATGGACTCGGTTCAGGCCGGGGCCGGTTCGGATCTTGAACCGGCCGGGTCTCGGTTCAAGGTATGGGAGGCCCGGAACCAGCCCGGGTAACCCCTGGGTCCGGGCCGGGCCAAGCCTCGATTATATTTTTTTTTTTGGGCTTTTCCTAGTTAACCCCCAACCCTCCCCCTCACCCCCAAACCAACCCTAACCACCTCAAATGGCCCAAAATACCCAGCCCAACCCAAAAACTTAAAAAAAAATACAAAAAAAATTAAAATTGGCCTGGCCCGGGCCCGAACCGGCTGGGCCGGTTCACCTTTTGAAGGGCCCGAGCCCGAACCGAGATCCCACCGGGCCGGGTGACCCGAACCGGCCAACCAACCGGTTCACCGGGCCAGTCCCGGCTCGCACAATAGCGGGCCGGTCCGGTTCCGGGCCGGTCCAACCGGCCCGAGTCCATCCCTACCCGTGACAGGACATTTGGCCTATTCCCACCCCTACAAATAGATACTATGGGAAGGAGAAGCATTGTGCAATACAGGGGAGCGTGACCCCTTCCCCCCCCCCCCTCCCCAAGTGTGGTGGGAAAATTGGAGTGATCAAGATTCAAAACTCGCGATCGTGTGGAGGTTACAACTCCTGTGTAATGGGCTAAACGGACCTCAAGTGCGCACGACTATAACTGTATAAGTCTATCACCATTGGGCTGACTGAGTCATCATATTTACATCTTCTCATATGCCTTGTCGGGTCGGAGCATGGGGGCCTTGGATTGAAGATTCAACCATTTGGACGGCACAACATAGAATAACTTATAGGCTAGTTAGCTATATGCTTCAAATGTTTGTTTTGCTTTTCATAGTAAAGATATAATAGTATATTTTCAAATAAGCTTAATTTCGTTGAGGAAACATATCTAATAAGCTTGAGCTTATTAATAAATCCAGACGAGTAGTTTTCTCGTTATCAATAACCTGTAAACCTTATTGATAACTTCCTCTCATGTTTAAGGGGAGAATAATTGTCTTTTCCTGCAGATTGTCATACCATCGCCTATTGGCACCTGAAAAGAAAGAAGAGAAATACACTTGAAGCCGAATTGGAAAATTTGAAACCAAGGGCAAGCTGCGAGTAGAGAGAGTATCACTAGCATCCATACCATACTGATATCTACACGGTTATCCTCAAACAAGGTCTGGTTGAAACTTCGTATGCTTACTGTTTTAGAATCATTTGCCTACTCAAAAAAAACACAAAATAAAATTATTCCAACTTAAAATAGATCTGATGTCAATATTATGTCTTCTATAGTTCTATATCATCAGAAGGATCAGTTTTACCAACGGGTCAGCAACTCTCCCATGCCAAAGCACATTGTCCACTACTATGACCCCTCCGACCTTTACCTTTTAATGCCAACATAGAAGGAAAAAAATGTTTTACCTAGTGAGTTTTTCACAATGATTTCAATTTTCAAGTGCAGCAATGCTTATGCTCGTTGCCCATTTGGTGATATGGCCATTTAGCTTAAATAGATAATAATAGCTGAATCTATTGAATTTTCTAGAAGGGTTGGTTCATTCATTTCAGAAAATAATAAAAGTCAAAAGCTTATTTGGCTAATGAGCAGAATAAGTCACATTTGGCTACCACATGGAACCTCAGTGAATCAAATCATAAAATGAATTATGAAATAATTGTGAAACTAACCAACTTTAGTAGCAATTCGAAGTATTCTTGATACATTTTCTTATCAGCATCAATAAAAGCGAAGTCGTAACTGCATATTGTAGAAAAGAAATCAACATTTCCAATAACAGTAATATCAAGTCTTGGGAGTTACGGAGATAGTTAAACTAAACAACTTTTTTCTCTGATTTTTTAGTGGAGGACCAAACAGGTTTCCAAAATAAAATTCGATTTTTACAAGGGCATAAATACGAGATAAGGGTAAGATTGGTCCTCGAAGTTGCATAAAAGGGTCAAATAAGTCCTTATATAGAAGGCTCTGTCCGGCCGTTGCCGATTGAAGCGCAGTTACCTTCAAGAATTCATTTGAATACCTTCCCGATTGAAGTTTTAGCTGAAATTTGGTATGAGTAAACTAGACTTAATGAATAAGATGCTCAAAAAATCTCATCAACAAATTCCACCGGGAATCGCCCGAATGGTGACGGCCGGACAATAAGGACTTATTTGACCCTTTTTATGCAATTTCGATGACCAATCTGACCCTTATCTCGCATAAATACTTATAGGCTTGGTGGCTGTTTGGTAAGGGTCATTAATCATTTAGCTGAATCTTCTGTATTTTCAAAAAGAAAAAGTGTCAGATCATGCATTTCAGCAATAAGTCAAGGCTGCTTATTTTGCTGATAAGCAGCATACTCCGCATTTGGATACCAAAAAGAGCCTTACTGAAGCCAGATCACACAATGAAATTAAGATGATTGTGTAATAACCAACTTTGGTAGCAACTTGAATTATTCGTGATACATTTTCTTATCAGCATCAATAAAAACAAATCAGTAACTGCATTAAGCAGAAGTTTGAAAATAAATCACCATTTACAAGATAGTTGATATGACTAGTCTTGAAAAAAACAAGTGAACAAGAAAACACCTGAAAACACTTGAAAAATAAATCACCATTTCCGAGATTGGTGATTTAATTTTCAACAGAAAAGGATCAAACTACTTTCCAGAATAAAAATTCTACTTTTAGAGTATGGATACCTGCAGCCTTCACCATTCTGAATCATAGACCGTAGAGTATTGGCTGCTATATCATGTCTCACGTCCACCTAGCATCATGTGTAATCCAATAAGGCTTGACAAAGATTTCTATACATGTTTGAAAATACAGTTTACTAAAATTATACTTACTTGGATCATTTTGCCAAAAACAATGAAGCATGATGTGAAACAAACAATTACAAAAATCATGTTAAGATTGGTTAAAGTACATAAATGAGTTTTACCTGGTTTACTAAGGAAATGAAAAACTGGCAATAACTTCATCTAAAATAACATGGATTGCATACAAAATGATTTTTTAAAGTGCTGAATCGCTGATATTGGAAATAAATAAATAAAATCACCTTGCTAGATACACCCGCACGAACATAATATCTCTTTGCAACCTCTATTGATTTTTCATCTCTCTCACAAGCAACTAGATGTCCATGCTCTGGAAGAACTAAAGCAACGGCCAAGGAAGAGTATCCCTACAACAACAACAACATCCAAGCCTTATTCCCAAAAGATTTTGGGGTCGGCTAACATGAATCAGCCAATGAAGAGTATCCCTAGAAAGAAAGAAATCCAACAGAATGAGCCATAAATGTTACCGAACAAATCAGGCTTCTGCATTTTTTTAAAACAGAGAAAGATTATCAGGACAGTACAGTCTCCACAAATTTAGCATTTGGTCCTTATCAGCAAGACTCAAATATCAATTAACCAGCTATGTAGCCTAATGAAATTAGCGCATAGAACCACTAAATATCCGTTCAAAAAAACAGCCATATGAATATAACCCTACAAATGAAATCGAAAGTGCTTATAATTCATATAAAAATGCAAGAACATTGAAAAATCATTAATCAAGATTCAAGAAAAATAGTGGTCAAGGATTTAACTAAATGGATTTTGAGTGCACATACGGTAAAGATGCCAACTTCAATGCACCTTTTTGCTCCTTGGACCTGGACAAGCATTGCGAGTAGTTGTGCTTGGTCGGGGGATACCTACAGGTAAAACCAAAAAAAATATTTATAATCGGAACAAATCCATTTCAAAAAGCAGAAAATAAGAAATCCATTTATTTCCTTGCTATGTAAAGGCAAACTTCTCAATAGATGACCAATAACCAATTAGGAGTGCACCGAAAGAGAAGGGGGGAATGATTGACTAAATGTGAAACAATACTTACTTGCATTTGACTGCCCCGCATTGTGGCAGTCTCCTCTCTAAGTTCACGCAGAATCTGAAAGCAATGCAAAGAACCTAATTGGTACATGGCAACTATCAATGAAAGATAATCTCTATAGGTAAAATCAGCATCTCGTGATTAACGAGCTGCTCATACAAGCTCTTGTAAAGTTTACTCTCACAACACAGCACTGACACAAAGACAGAGAAAGCTGGATTTGTATTAGAGTGAAATGTACAAGATGAGGGATTCCATAGGTACATGAGTAGCTCTACATGGACTCACATCGACACAAGTCTTCTTGGATTCACTACTCTTTGAAGAAAGCTATAACTTTCACTTATTTAGAGGGCTTCCTTGAATTTACTTCACTTTTATCTCCTGAGGAGGCTCGCAGTCTCTCGCAATTAATGAGCCATCCTTGGATTCAAAGCTCCCTCACCAGAAAACTCTGGTACAAAAGTTTCGCAACTCTCTCAATAGGGAGAGGTCAACTTTCACAACATTCGTATACTAATTTATGCTTGTACTTAGCTAATCAGTAATCACCTCTGGTTCTCTGACATTAGCGAGAGCATAACTATAGAGCTGCGGAGTAACACTTATGACCTGTTTGCCACCATAATTAACATTGACAGGCATAACTGTATCAGCTTCGGGTTTCCATGCCTGAATCCGATGGAAGGGCACTGCAGTCTTGAAGGACACGAGCCTCTTAATAGCAAACGAGTCCTCAAAGCCATTGGTATGGAGTCTGGGGTCAAGGCGGAAGGTAAATCTGGTTCGAGGCCCGAATATAAAACAAGGGTTTTTGAATATATGAACCAGCACCCAGATTGACATTAGAGAATCAATTGAAGAAGCTGTCATAAGAGAAATCACGAGATAGAATACTATTTAATGAGATAGAGATAACATTCCAAAAAATCGAGGTCAAATTTTGAAAAAGAACATTTTTTTCAAGATAAAAATTACGGGATGCAATTTTACAATAGACGGTGAAGTGGCGCCATGGAACACTTGATTGAAAAGTTACAGAAAACCAAGCAATAGATCTACGCAAACATATTACTCGAACAAACTCTGTGTACTATCACTGTATTTATTACAAAAGCAGGAGGAAATTTGGCACCGAGCGAGGGTGGGAAACTAAAAATACTAACATGGTTTTTTATGTTGTTGAGAGCGCTTGTCCTTGTTAGCTGAGGTTTTCCACTCTACCAGTGAAATAAGGCCGCCGGCCGCGGATATGACCGGCCAGTGCAGTGGCGTAAGTTAACGGGCAGGAGCAGCAGCAGCAGGGGAGGTTCGAGTTCTCAACAAATTCGGGTAATGACTGCAGAGCCCGTAATTGGATTGCAATTTTTAAACGGACCTCCTTCCAGCACCCCAAAATTGGACAATTTTGTCCTCATTAAAAGTATATATAGAGAGAGGGCAGCTTACCACAGTACGTACCGCACCAAAGTACCAAACTCTGCTATTGCTTTTTATATTAAAAAAATACGAGTACGTTTTATATTTCCTTAAAATTTGTTTTAATACTCGTATTATTTTTAAAAAATGATTATCTTTAAAATATACTCAAAATCTAAATATAGCCACGATTAAGAATTCTAACTACCTTCAAATAATTTTTAAATAAAGGGAAAAATGTCATATAGGTCATCGAACTTTCATAAAATGTCAATTAAGTCCTTCAATAGAAGATTCTGTCCGGCCATCGTTATTTGGGGCAGTTCCCGTTGGAATTTTTTGATGAAATTTTTTTAGAATCTTATTCACCAAGTCTAGTTTACTCATACCAAATTTCAGCTAAAAATTCAATTGGGAACACATTCAAATTAATTCTTGAAGATAACTGCACATTTTTGCGTTCTCGAATTAATTTTAATGTGCTCCCGATTAAATTTTTAGCTGAAATTTGGTATGAGTAAACTATATTTGATGAATAAGATGCTAAAAAAATCATCAAAAAATTCCACCGGGAACTGCTCCAAATCGCGACGACCGGACAGAGTCTCCTATAGAAGGACTTAATTGACTTTTTTATGAAAGTTCGAGGACCTATTTGACAGTTTTCCCTTAAATAAATATTTGTAACACATTGTAATGCTTTTATAATTCTTTTACAAAAGTACGAAGTAGTAATCTTGACTTCCAGACTAATGAGATTATTATTTATCTTAATTCATACTACGTACCAATCCATTCATCTGTCTCACTAGTTGTATTTCAATTTTTCTTTATGATCTGTTTCATTAAATTTGTCGCATATAGTGTTCAGTGATATTTGGGTGGTCATATACACCGATTCATTCATTTTTTTTACTAATGTTGTCTTTACTTCTATTATCATATAAATAATTCAGGATGCTTTTAATCTCTCCTAGTAAAATGAATTTTTGTCAAAATAATACGTGTACTTCAAATTTCAATTATGTCTTCTTATAAGTTAATAACTTTGAGATTAAGTTTAAACTTGTATAGTGTAATGAACACTTTCAAAAGGCGGGTCTCATCTTTTAAAATTGATCAACACCATGTTGATTCCGCATTACGACCATATATTTTATATCGATGATTTCACATGTGAACGACATTTAGATTGCCTGATATCAAATTTGATAAAGTTTGTTTGATTCTAAATCATTCTTACTTTATTCTTACTTTATCAATGCAATATCAACCACATAATTAAATTTACTTTTCTTAGTAATTGTGTCACTTTCTCATGTCTCAATGCTAGCTGGACGGAGGTAGTAATATTTAAGGAAAACCCTATAACATGAACATATACGGAGTATCAGCTAACATGAATCAATATTTGACTTCGAAGCCAAAACGAGAATAAAGATACGAACAATAAAAATGTAAGATATGGTAAAAAGATAAAAAAAAATATAAAATAGAGATAATATATGCATATATATAAATGATTATAAAAAAGAATATTTTTTCAAAAGTTTATAAATACAATATATGTGTCATATGAAAGATTATAAAAGTTTATTAAATTCAATACATTTTTTTCAAAATTGGGTAATAAATGAAAATATCAAGTTGTATAACATTTTATAAAAAAAAATTGTTCGACTCATTTAAAAAAATGATATTTACACTTCAATTTAAATTTAGTCATCAAACAAAATTATAAAAAGTGACAACGTAATGGGGTTTGTTTTTAATTTTGAAGGACTAATTATACTGTCCGAATAAAAACTTTTGTTAACAAAATAAAGTGGGTAAAATGATCTAGCTAAGGCTACGTTTAGCAATCCGGAGGTGCGCCTAGCAATCCCTTTTTTAAAAGTTGGGGAGACTAGCCTCCGAAAATAGAAAAAGAAGCAAAAGCAGTCTCAAACATCTCTTAGATTATTGTAGAGACACTCCCCTCTTCTTTGAAGTTTGAACACAATTTAATTCGATGCATACTCCGCTCCAACTCGGACTCAATTCGAACCAAATTAAGTTAAGTTCCAGATACATACAAATCCAATTCAAAAAACTCACAAGTTACTTAATTGCCGGTTATAGCCTAAATCGGCGCCGGATCTCTTTCTTCTTTGCGGTCAACGACCCGTTGACCACCCGAACCGACTCCGATTGATCCGAAACTTAACCCAAACACGAATTAAGTCTTAAACAATCAATATTTGCCATTTTGGCCATCCAAAACATCACACATGTTTTTATATCATTTTCATATCATTTTTCATGCACAATCATTATGGTTCATCTCATATAAGCCTAATCATCTTGCATAATCACATGTTTAAACCATTTTAACCATCATCATGAACACATATAGAATTTACTTAGGTAATGTCATACTTAACCCAAGAGTTACAAGACATTAAGTCATCCACTCACCTTGAATGAGCTTTAAGAAGTTCTGCCCTTCCCGGTTGGACTCCGGTGAAGCTCCGGTGAACTTTGACAAACTCCGGAGAACACTCCGGCGACTATTTCAACTCCGTGAAAGCTCTAGGAACACCTTATGCAAGTTCCTAACAAGTTTTTATCATCATAAAACCCATATCAATACAAATAACCTTTAAAAGGTTATTTTCCGGTGAACCGGTCACTTTGGCTTCTAAGTCCGTTCTTGGACTTAGAACTACCTTCCAACCCCTCTTTCTACACTCCTAAACATGTAGAACAATCCTAGGGGTTCCTCATATGATTCATAATCCATATGATAGATGAAAGGTGGAAGAAAAGATAGTAAAGAGCTTCTTACCTTAACACCAAAGGTTTTTCTCTACTTTGTAACTCTTTTCTTCTTCCTTGAGCTCCTTGCTTGCTTGAGTTTTCTTGGCTATGGAGGGATGGTGATTTGCAGAGGATTCTCTCTCCTTTCTCACTTGGGGAGGGTGGAGATGACTATTTTGTCTCAAATGCACAATAAGAGAGGGGTGAGGTCCACCTCAAGTCCCCTCCTCACCCAATCCTTCAACCTCCAGCCCATAGCCCCTCATCTTGCATGATTTGATTGTATCAATTGACTTTGAGCACACCAAAACGTGGGGTGGTCCCCACTCACGTGGAAGGTCGTCCCTTTATGTCCCGAACTGCACAATCGGTCCCGAAAGTTGTATTTCTCGGACTATTTTAATTATATTTTATTTTATCGGGCCAAATAAAATATATCACACACTCTCAACCCATAGGGGACCTTAGAGTGAATATACATCCTTCATCTTTAATTTAGAAGTCTCCGAAACCCATTTCGGACTATTATCCGATAAATTATCGATACCGGCAATTTGGCCCTGTTTGACCAATCAGTCACCCCGTGCCCTTTCTATGGTCCAACTAGGATATCCACCACCATATACATATTATCTAGCCCAAGATGAATATAACATAATATGTGGTTTCAGAAATACAGGGTGGTCCCCGCTCCCGATGTGGGCCCCACGTGCAAATTACTATTCACACAAAGTAATAACAAAATTTACAACCTCGTAAATTCGTTAACCATTTCATAAGGTCCAATACATGATTTATATAAAAGTAAATATAATTGGGGACGGTGTTACATTGTACCGTACCGTTGTGTACCGTTCCGAAACGGTATGGTACCGAATGGTTATTTCCTTGGAACCGAACCGTTAGAAACCTCACGGGTACATAATGGGTTTTGTTAGTTTAATGCACCGTTCCGGACCGCGCCCACTCCTAAGAAAAGACATATTACGTTAATATATCAGCATCATCATACGTATATATGAGCATTGTACTACAAGTGTTTCAATGATCAATCAAAATAAGGACGTTTTCTTTTGAACTGAAATTTGCTGATCTGATTTGGTTTGAAATGGTCTGGTCTGGTAAATCTCTTGTCTCTATATTTTATAGGAAAAATTGAAAATAATAATCCCAACTATTGCTGGTCCGCTAACAATAATCCCAAATATTGATTATTTTTGTATAATCCCAATTATATAGACCGTCCGCCAATAATGGTCCATTACTAGATATTACCTCCTATAACAAGTGAATTTTAAATAGAATTAAGCGTACAAATTAAAAGTTGAGATTATTTATAGGGATTACTTGATATATCTCTTCTCATCCTCTTTAAAATTAATTTATAGCCGGTCACATCGGACCATTATTGACGGAAAGTACCTAAAGTTGGAATTATTCTGAAATAATCGATAGTTGGAATTATTACTATCAATTTTTTCTATTTTATAACTATGAAACTCTGATCTATTCTGGTCTTGTTTGGTCTGAGACTGAAAACAATTCAAAAGAAAACATCCTAAGACCTAAAACACCACGAATTGTAATATTTTTTATTTTAATTTTAAATATTATTTAATCTTATTAAACTACTAAATTTTTGTGAAGAAAAAAACTCTTCAAAAACTAGCAATGAAATTACAAATAAATAAATAAATCAAAATTGATGATATTTAGGTTATTGATTGATAGTTTTCAATTATTTGAGTCCTATATCGACACATCTCATCTTTCAGGTTCCTTTTTTATAATGGACTTATCTTTCAGGTCTCGGATTGATAAAATTTCAAACAATGTTCATTGACAAAGGAAGAGAACCTTGAGTGTCCAAAAATGACGGGCTACGAAACTTTAGTCATCAATATGAAATTCACATGTAACTATAATGTCTTATTGATCCACATGAAACCTTAGTTGTCATTTATCAATATGAGATTCACATGTAATCATCATCCTAACTAATAAGCACTTTTGAGAATTTTATTCGAATGTATGTGTGTTATCCAGGCTACAAAAAGGCATTCATCAAATCAAATGTGAATAAATCCAGACGTTCTAAGAATACAGATATGAGACCCCACATTCATTATTATTGTTATTGTGATTACTACCCAGCTGCTTGAAAATCCCCAAAATCATCATCATCATCTTTAACATCCAGCGGTCTTAGATTTAGAGGCATCCCCGATTGATGTTCAAGACTAAAGATGGGTGGAGAATTGTCCACAGTGCCGATGGGTGTTGGGGGCGGGGGTGGGGGTTTAATTAAAATAGCGCTCTCTTTTTGGTTGCCTCTTTCCTCTAATGACAGATGATTCAAACCTTGTTCAAAGAACTTTGACTTTATCGTCCCGCCACCTCCCGCTTTCTGTCAACATCAAGAACAATGAATGAATGAATGAATAAGGCTATATATGTATATATGTATATAATAGCAAAGCAAAAGAAGATGAGAGAGATTCACATTTTTTATTTCAAGTACAAGAGTCTCCCCTTCTTTCAGACTGTAATCAGTTGACGACATCTTCTGGAATTGTTGTTCCATCTCTTCAGCAGTTTTCTTCTTGTTTACATACCTATTTAGCCGTCACAAAACAGGCCAACACTGAATGCATCACAATATCACAATCATATATTCATTCAATTGTGTTCCCCACCGAGCAATGTGTTAATCCCCACACATCACGAGAAAGGACTACGTGGCATATGTTTTGGGAAAGAATTATTGTATCGTTTTAGAAATATACTCTAGACATTATTATTAATAAAGCAGGCTTTAACCCTCCAATGAAAAACACAGAAAATTTCTTCCCTCTTCAAATACTATTCTAATTTATACTCTATATTTCAACATGCTATCACAGCATTTCTATTCCATTTCATTCTAATTTCACAGCCCACAGAACATCAGTCAGACCCCGTTCCAGAGCATCAATACAAAGTTAGCAGACCGGCACCTCCCTAACTCACCTTCGTCCTAATCAGGTGTGATTGACGCCGGCGACCACGCCTTAGTATTTTATAACTGTCCAAGTTTGGTCTGGTATGATTTGTTTAATTCTGGTCTAATATGATCTGCTTAAGTCTGATTAGGTCTGGGACTGAAAGCAGTCCAAAAGAAAACATCTTAATACAGACACCGCAAGCGCACGCGCGTGGGGCTTGATCATTTATCGGATTTTGATCAGAAATCAGTCATGATCGCCTAAGTATTCTCTGCCACCCGGATCCACTCATTCTTTGGTGTTTGCAACCTTAGGATACACGGGCGATTTGGAGAAGATTGAAGAACCGCCGAAGAACGACGGTTTCAGCTACCGCTAATGGTCAGTAGACTCTCGTACTCTTGTGTGGAGTTCCTTTTCATCGTATATTGTTTCTAGGAGTTGTTGGCACTCCCGGCTCTGAAGCCTGCGTCATTACCTTCCATCCTTTGAGTTATGGAACTCCTCGTTGTGGGTTAACCAACTTTACTTAATAATTGGTAAGTATATACTGCGTGCAAATAAACACACGTATATATAAACACGGTGGCATTTTGGTAAATATTGTGAAAATGCGAAAAAGTGCAATGTACAAACTTCATTGTGCACCACATTAGGGTAATTGTTGTGTTCTCACGTTCTCAAATTAAACATTGTTCTCATTTGATCTTTAATATATATATATATATATATATATATATATATAGATTCATTATTTTTTGGCTTGAGATTATGATGGAATAAAGCAAAATGGCTCACTAAACTGTCTGCGCTTCTTTGTTATGGAGCGGCAGTCAGTCCATGCAATTTTGGACGCGATTTTCACTATGGGTCATCCGGAAACAGTCTCTTTGTGCTTTAGTATAGGGGTAAGACCACGTACATACGACCCCCCTTACCCCACCGTAGGTGGGAGCCTTTGCGGCACTGGGGTAAATGAAAATGATGAAATGATATATATATATATATATATATAATACAAAAAAAGAGAAACAAAAAAATGTTTTGTCCTCGTAAATTTGAAAGAGAGTTAATATCCAATTACGGTAAGAAATCTAGGCACTTGATATAGAACGTAGAAAATTGGCATTCAAAAATCAAGGAAATTCGACTACTCATGTTGTTTCTGCTACCACTTCATCTAATGGATCACTTGATATTTCTTCGAATGAATACGCCAAAGTTATGTGCTACAAAGAATTTTTAAAGCATTACTTTGTTTATACCTCGGTAGTTACTAATTCAGGTATCTCAAACACATTTCTTGTTTCATCATCCTCAAAATGGGTCATTAACTTAGATGACACATATCATATGACAGGTAATCCTAATATATTCTCATCATTTCATTCATATTTACCTACTTATAGTGTCACTTTAGCTGATGGGTCTACCTAACCTGTCCTCAAATCTAGTACCATTATCCCAACTTCTACATTACCATTATCGCATGTTTTGAGTCTTCCAAATTTTGCATTTAATCTGCTTTCCATTGGTAAAATCAAATATACCCTTAATTGTTCTGTAACATTTTTCCAGGATATTGTGTGTTTGAGGATCTGTTGACGAAGCAGATTATTGGTAAAGGACATGAGTCAACTGGTTTTTATATTTTGGATACATCAATCACAAAAAGTATCTCTTGTCTTGGGGGTGGAAATTTATTAAAGGCCCATTACCGACTAGGACACCCATCTCTCGCACTAATGAAGCAAATATATCATCAGATTATAAAGTGTCAACTTTACAGCGTGAGTCATGTCAATTTGCTAAACACCATCGTACTAGTTTAAGTCTTCGAGTTAATATACGAGCAAATGCTCCTTTTGATCTTGTTCATTCTGATGTTTGGGGGGGCTTGTCCTGTTGTGTCCAAATCTGGTTTCAAATATTTTGTTACATTTCTTGATGATTATTCTCGTATGACTTAGACATATTTTATGAAACGACGATTTGAGTTATTTTCTCATTTTGTGTCTTTTGTGCTGAAATCAAAACTCAATTTAATGTCCATGATCATGTCTTAGGGGGAGACAATGCTCAAGAGTATTTGTCAACCTCATTTAAGTTATATATGGCTCAAAATGACATAATTCATCAAACTTCATGCGTAGACACACCTCCTCAAAATGGAGTTGATGAACGAAATAATAGACATCTGCTAGAAACTGCAATGGCTCTTCTATTCCAAATGAATATGCCTAAACAGTTTTGGGCGGATGTCGTGTCTACCGCATGTTTTTTGATGAATCGTATGCCATCTTCAGTTTCAGGTGGAAAAGCTCTGTATCACTGTCTATTTCCCATAGAAGAGCTTTTTGGTATCCCGCCTACAATATTTGGTTGCACTTGTGTTGTTAGAGATGTTAACCTTCATCTTAAAAAGTTAGATCCCAGATCATTAAAATGTATTTTCCTAGGATATTCTCAAGTTCAAAAGGGGTACAGATGTTTTTGTCCAAACACAGGTCGGGATTTTGTTTCTATTAATGCGTCATTTCATGAAAATACACCTTTTTCATCATCCACGATAGATAAGACATATATTCATGAGAACAATGATGAAATACTCATTTACAAGGTTACTATACTTCAGTCCACACCTTCTGTAATTATACAACATGTTACGGTTCCCGACCTCAGACCTCCAATACACTTGGTTTACACCCGTCGACACAAAGCACCAAATCACCTTCCACTTGTGACACTTGTGATTACTTATCCTGATACGGGTCCGACTTTGATCTCATGTCCTGAACCAGTACCTCCCATCTTCAGATCTTGTCTCTACATCAAATCTTGACCTCCTGACAGTACTACGTAAAGGTACACGGTCTTGTACTCATCCTATTTCTTCATTTTTGTCGTATAGTCAGTTATCCACTGTCTCATGTTCTTTTATTACTTCTATTGATTCTACTTATGTTCCCAAATCTGTTAAAGAAGTTTTGTCTCATTCTGAATGGCGTCATGCCATGGTAGGGGAAATTAATGCTTTGGATCTTAATGGTACTTGGAAATTGGTAGACTTGTTGTCTATAGAGAAGAAGTCTATTGGATGTAAGTGGGTCTTTGCTGTTAAGGTTAAACCCAGATGAACCTGTTGCTCGGTTGAAAGCTTGATTAGTTGCGAAAGGTTATGCTCAAACCTATGGTGTTGATTATTCTGACACTTTTTTTTCTGTTGCTAAATTAACATATGTCGAGTTACTTCTTTCACTCGATGCAACTCATGACTGGCACTTACACCAGTTGGACATTAAAAATGTATTCTTGCACGGTGACCTTCAGGAAGAAGTTTATATTGAGTAGCCTCCGGGATTTGTTGCTCAGGGGGAGTGTGGTTAGGCATGTCAAAAAAAACCGGCCCGAGACATTTGGGGCGGGTCCGCCCCGCCGATGCAATGGGGCGGGTCTGGGTCTTATTATTGACCCGTGCTGCCCCGACCCGCTCAATATATAAGTAGACATACTTTTTTAAAAATTATACTACTCCCTCCGTCCCTTATAACTTTACCAACTTTCCTTTTTTGGTTGTCCCAAAAACTTTGCCACTTTCGTTTTTAGTCAATCAATTTGTGGTTCACGTTATTTCTCTCTCCTCTGCACAAATCTCTACCACACAGTTTTTACTTTATTATTCTATGTACCGGTCAAACTTGGCAATCCTTTTAGGGACGAAGGGAGTACAAATATACTTTTACATACATATATGTGTATACAATAAACCATAAATTCTTTGATCTTATAATATATCATTTTGTAATATTTGTATTTCAATGAGATGAACGGCGAATTATCAATCTCTTTTATATATTCAATTATTAATATAAATAGATTAACTATTCAATTCTAAGTATTTTTTCTTAATTTTCAAATTTTTATGTGTATTGTGACTTTGATTTAATATATTATTTTTTAATAATGATTTAGATATAAATTTTATGTAGATTCAAGTAGTAACAACTTCACACAAATAGAAATGCATGCTAACTAATTAGGTTACAACGGGGCGGGGCGGACTCGCCCCGCACAGGGCGGGTCACGGGTCAACAAGTTTGGACCCGTGCGGGTCACGAGGCGGGGCGGGTCCACCCAATGAAGTCACGGGGCGGGTCTGGGTCTTGCAGTACCCGCCCTGCCCTTACCCATTGACATGCCTAAGTGTGGTAAAGTTTGTCAACTTCGCAAGTCTCTTTATGGTCTGAAACAGAGTCCTCGTGCATGGTTTGAGAAATTCAGTCAATCAATTGAACAGTTTGGAATGATTAAAGGCAAATCAGATCACTCTCTCTTTTGCAAACGAACGAAAGCAAGTATGACATTGTTTGTGGTGTATGTCGATGATATCGTGATTAAATAAGGTGATAATGTAGATATTTTGGCCCCTTAAGAATTGTCTTCATAGCCCGTTCCAGACAAAAGATCTAGGCTCATTGAAAAAAAATGGGTATTGAGGTAACACGGAGTAAAAAAAGGAAATTTCTATCTCAACAAAATGTGTACTTGATTTGCTAGCTGAAAAAGAGAAATTGGGATCAAAGCCAAGCAATACTCCCATGATTCTCAACGTGCAACTCACTCAAGAAGGCATGTCATTTGAAGACCCAGAAAGATATAGAAGATTGGTTGGAAAGCTTAATCATCTCGCAACCACTCGTCCAAGTATTGCATACTCTGTGAGTGTAGCGAATCAATACATGTCATCTCCGACCATTGATCATTGGGTTGTTGTAGAACACATAGTATGTTACTTAAAGGGAGCACCGGGACGAGGTATTGTTTATTAAAACCATGATCACATGAGAATAGAATGCTTTGATGTTGATTGGGCCGGTTCTAAAGATGATCAAAGATCTAAATCTGGTTATGGTGTCTTTGTTGGTTGTAATCTTGTATCCTAGAAGAGTGAGAAACAGAATGTGATCTCTGAGTTTCTCGTTCTAGTGATGAATCGGAATATCGAGCTATGGCACAATCCGCATTTGAGATAATATGGATACATCATTTATTGAATGAAATCGAATTGAAGACACCAATGTCTGCTCAATTATGATGTGATAACCAAGATGCTATACACATAGCAAACAATCTCGTATTTCATGAGAGAACAAAGCATATTGAGGTTGATTGCCATTTTATCCAGAGAAGATACAAAAAGGAATAATCTCTACCGAATATGTGAAGACTGGAGAACAACTTGGAGATTTGTTCACTAAAGCTCTACATGGGATTCGAGTTGATTACTTATGTAAAAAGTTGGGCATGATAAATATCTATGCTCCAACTAGAGGGGGAGTGTGAAAGAATTATTGTATCTAAGAATATGTTTTAGGAATATACTCTAGACATTATTATTGTATAGCATCTTGTATAGGAATATTCCATCTTTGTAATATATATATATATATATATATATATATATATATTACAAAGATATATATATATATATGGCTTTAACCCTCCAATGAAAAACACAGAAAATCCCTTCCCTCTTCAAATACTATTCTAGTTTATACTCTATATTTCAACATGTTTTAAGATTGAGATTAATACTCCATCTTTTATTTGTGGTTTGGATTATTTAAATTTTAACATGAAATGATATCAGAGTCTAGTATGATTGTGGGATGTCTAGCTCCTCACTGGTTGAGGCAACCCATTTGGGCATCGGTTTGGGCTCAATTACATCCCTTCAGTTAAAATTCCAACTTGGACATCCCACATCAGTACTCTAGCATGTTAAGTGTAAGGTAAACCCCGTCATATAGAAAACATTGAGGAAAATAAAATTGGATAGTGTATCATTACTATACTTCATATGGTCATGAAGGGCAGCTTGGAAATCATAAGCTTCCGGTCTTTCCCGGAATCCAATGCCAACAAAAGCATGCCTAAGCCGACCTCCTGCATATTTTGAGGATGATGTCATCATTGTTATAAAGACCAAACTGCATATTCATTGTTAGTAGAATAGATTAACCAGGGCTAGGCATCAAAATAAGAGAATTCTTACTTGTTCAATGAATCCACTCATTGAATTTAATCAGTATTAAAGTTTCGTGTCCAGAAAGGGGAGAGCCTTATGGGAACCCAGGAAATCATTAGGGAAGGAAAATATAGATGGAAATAGATAGCTAGTTTGAGAAGGGGAAAAGGTAGAGGGGAAATTATTTTTTTGGTTCAAACTTTAATAGATTGAAATTACATATTTTATGAAACTCCTTGTATTTATTTATTTATTTATTTATACTATATAAAGTCTAAGAAAAAGCCCAAGTATTAACTCCTTTTAATTAAATCCTATTTTTCACCATACTTTCTAACATAAACCAAATATTATGCTTAAAATAACACTGCATATTGCTAAATACTTTCCGTGCCATTTTCTGATTTCCAAACATAGCATATGTAACGATCCCTACAAGGCTATCAAACAATATTTGAAGTATTTATATTTTGATAAGTTAACACCAAAAGATTTTAGGGCATTGATCACTTGACTCAATTACTAACAAGCCTATAATTGTATATGGTTAAGATTTTATGATATGGTTAAGTTAGTGAATTGATTCAATTACTAACAAGCCTATAATTGTATATGAATGTGATAAGATGGGATGGGATGGGATGGGTAAGAAAACACACTAGTAAGTAGTAACATAGCATAAGAGCATTGTAAATACCAAATTACCAATATTCTCTTCTACCCGGAGAACAAAGTATCTGCAATGGAACAAAACAGAACGTCATCAATTCTAGAAAATCAGTACATCAGTCCATGAGCAAGAAAGAGGGGGATAAAAAGGACTTTAAATGATGTATTTTAGATTACTATTATTATTATTAATATACTCTCCTCACCTGCTACTATCAATCACAGGCTCTACTGGATGAGGTTCCCCATCTCTCAGAAAAGCCCGAGCATATAGTTCACCTATTTTAAACATGTCCAACTCAGAGATTGCCTATCAACAAAATAATAATAATTTGAATACAACAGTTTTTTCTTTCCCAAATATGTTATCCGTCCCTATAAATATAAAACTTTTTGTTTTGAATATCAGTAAAATAATTTTTTCTTTTCTTGTTACTTATCCCTGCCATTAGGTTTTTTTAGTTATTGACTGCCAACCTCCGTCCAAAAAGAGAATTGTTTCATCAACTTTCTCTAACTCGTGAGCGACTACTAGAGGAGTTAGGGCTAATTGAAACTCATCATTCTCAATTTCAATTCAAGACTCTCCCTCACTCTCTAAAATTAGAATAGCAACCATTTTCTGTGGGATGACTTAACACAACATTCTGTGGGATAGACTCATCATTCTAAGCTCTTGCTTTATAAATGAATTTGTATCTTTATATCTCGCCTATGTGGGATGACTTAACACAACAAAAACCATATTGAAAACTTCTATTAATTTCTGGAAAAAGGGCATACAACCTGTTGCCTTGTCCTCAAGTCTAATTATGCATTCCTCTCCTTTGCTTATAACCTTTAGTCTGCCCTCCCACGCCCACTTGTTCACATCCCACTCATCAGCTCTACATTGAATTTGAAAAAAAAAATTGATAATTAGAGAGAGATTATTGATGCTAACAATGTAATAGGATCATATTATGAAAATATATTGTAAATATAAGAAGTAATAATTAATTAAAACCTGTATGAAGCTGAACTTTTTCTGGGAGGTATCTGTACAACAGCATACATATAAAAGTGAGACAATTTGCTGCATCTACTAGTACTCATGGCCAGTACAAGAATTGATGCTAAAATGAGCTTATAAGAATTAAGAAGTGCTCCCTAGGTGGCTCTACCCGAAACGAAATTTCTCACTTTCCTTTCCGGGTTATGGTGAAAAACTTTTAATGTCCTCATAATAAGAAAAAAGTTGTGTGGTTGATATCGTGTCTCATTTTTTGAATAAACTTTACTCACACAATTTTATACTCTTAATTCCCATAGAAAAAGCATATGAGAAGTTTATAATAGCATGGGGGAGTAGGGAGTAACAGATAAAGTTGAAAATAATCTTTTTTCTGAATTTCTTTTATTTATATTAAAATTCCAAGTAGTCATTCAAAAACTTTGGTAGAATATCCAAAACAAAAATTATAATTAAGAGCACGATATCTAAGTCAATACTAACTTCATTCGGGGCCCGTTTGAGGATGAGGTTTTGGTTAGAAAAGCTCTTTTTGAGAGAAAACTTTTGAAAAATATTTTGCCTCAAATGCAATTCTAGAAATGCAAAACTCGAGTTGTTTGGGGTTGTATTTAGGTCAGTGGCATAGCCCAGATCCCATAAATTTTGAATTTAGGGTAGACTGGAACATTAACTTATTCATATAAATGTTTACATTAAAAACTTTACACATAAAAAGTGGTTTTACAAAGCTTGGGGTTGCCCCCTCCTATCAACGCCCACGCGTTCGAGCCCAAAAGAGCTGTTCCCTAAAAGACGAAGGCTATAATCTCTGGTTAAGAGGTAACTACAAAATTTAAAAGCACTCCACCTCTTTGAAAACCCCATTAGGGGTATGTTTATTTCAAGGTGAACCTAGGTTGTTCTACGTTTAATTTTAGGTTCACCTCATTTGTTTTGTATTTTGCAATAAGAATCTAGTTTTAGAGCAATTTAGTAACACATAAATTGATTGAATCAACTGAATCTATTGAAATTAGTCATACTTTGGCTAAAGTGGCTGAATTGACTCGATATGTTATGAATTGTGGAGAATTATATTTCAATTTAATTTTTTAAATAAAATGAACAAAGAATTAGATGACAAATAGATTAAATGGTCTACTTCAACAATTTCAGCCAATTCAGTCAGAAAAACAATTCCGACCGTACTTATTTTGATTATTACACAATTCAATGCGTGAAACCCAAAGTTGCTCGTTTAAGAAAAAAGATGACCGACAAGACCGATAAGTGAAAAATAAGAGTTATGAAAGAAAACTAGTTTTGGAGAACCTCACAGTTGGAGGTTTCCAGAGGTTCAATTCTCTTTATAAGTAAATTTAACAGATTTACTTCAATTAATTTTCATCCAAACAAACTTTCACAGCATCCACCCGAATTAATCTAGTAATTATTAAAACGGCAATTTTATATGTGCATTTAGGTTCTTGTGCATCTAGACTGAAATCAATTCAATAGGTTTACTTAAGGTCACTCTATCCAAATGGACCTTAGGGTTTTCCAATTCAAAGCATCAATTATCAAGTATCCAGCATCACCACTGATTCAAGAACCCATTCAACAACCAAATCCAACTAAGAAGCTGGGATTCTTAAATCTAAGAGTTTTCCTTCATTTCAATTTCAGAAGTGGGTTTAGTAAATTTAGGTTGGAAGTTAGAACATTGAGATACCATAGAGCCCCAACATCTGAAGTCTTTAAATCTAATAAATTCAATTTTCATCAAACAACAAGACTCCAATGTTCAAAAACGGCTGCAGCCAAATAATCTAATTCTTCCAACCTAAATTAAAATTTACATACATTAAACCCCATTGCAGTCTCCCAGGAATAGCCAAAGTAGGTGCTTCAAAAAGAGAAGCGGGTGGGTTACCAAGTAAACATAGCTTTCTGATACTTGAAAGAGAACAAGCTCCGACCCTTCTTCTTCTGGCTCTTCTAGTTTTAGGTCTGCGTTTTTTTCTGTCTCCATGATCTAATCCAATCTGATCAGTCTTTTCCAAGCTTCGTCAAATAGCTGAATTGTGTCTTCCTATGCAGTTTTTGGGATATTAGTGTGAACAGAGAGGTTCTAATTGGCCGGCAACTACGCACAGAGAGGACTTAGGAACCAGAACCATTGGAAGCTAATAGTTAAATTCATGTTGGGTTCGGTTCGTGAACATGATTTATAAACTACTCCTAATTAACGGTAGGGTTTCTCATTCCTAAGAAAATATCTCTATGATAAGAAATTGAAAGTATAACTAATAATAATTATGATAATAACAATAACAACAACAAAAATAATAATAATAATAATAACAATATTAAAAATAATAATAATAAACTTACTAGTCAAAATATTGTGGAGCCCCCGTCTCCCCTCCACTTTGGGGTTCACCTAGTCAGCTTACAAGTTGGCTTGTGGTTTCCGCTGCACAATGCTCATCTTAGCGTCATGGGCTATTATGGTGTAATTCTCGGTCAATTCTCTCCAACTACTCATATGTTCATCATCACGGTCGCCGCCTGATGCCTTCATCTGGACATTCGCCCTGCAATAAATCTTTTTCTTCATTTCTTTCTGATGGATAGTCTACCCGGGGGTATATATCCGAAGGGTTACTGCGGGGAGTAACTAGAGAGAAGTCAGAGAAAAAGTAAGAGAGAGAGTATATTGCTGAGAATGTAGTGAGCGAGTTTAGCTTGGGTTACAAATGGGGAAAAGTGACGCTATTTATAGTAGTAATAAATGCAAGAAGGGGACATGTGTCACGCATCCAACGGCGAGGGGTCACATCAACCAGGTGTCACTGGCATTCGCATGTGGCCGCATTTAATGCGGCGGTTGGATGTGACGTTTGTACTTGGTACGTTGATCCAGCGCATGTGGGTGGGAGATTCTGTCAAGGAGAAGCCTTCGGTCGTAGATGATTGACCGAGGGCTCTTCCTTCCGGGGGCACCCTAGGTGCCGATGGCTCCAGGTCCCGAGGGCTACTATTTTTACTGTCTTCTCCCAGTGTCTTCGTGTGCTGAAAATAACCTTCCTGTGAGTATCAGGAGCCTTCGGCTAAGGGGCCGAAGGCACCCCTAGTGTATATTGTTGGCTGCTTGGTACTCGGGGCGCTTTGATTTGGGCATGTTGTGCTTCCTGGGCCTATTGGGCTTTGATTAAAGTAGTAGGAGTCTATGGGCCGGGGGTCCATAGGCCATATACTCCATCACGAGTCCCTCACTCCTTTTGCTGAAAGATACTTGAGGGAAAATGAGTAATTGTGTTTGTCCTCTGCCGTTGTTCCGTTGTAGTTTGTAAAGTTTGTTGGTAGTTCATTGTGTGCATGTTTCAGCCGAGGGCGGTCCCTCAGTTACCCACATTCCGGGACTTGAGGGATCATGTTTGTCGTTGTGGGAGTTTTCGATATTTTTTGTATTTTGAGATTTTTCCCGTAGGGGTTCTCCAGTCCCTCACTCCTTGAGGCACTTGCAAAGTGGTGAAAAGGAGTAGAGTAGTGTCTGCCTGCAATATGAAGCCGAGGGGTGACGCTTTTCGTTTCATTTTGGGGGGATGCCTCGTTAAAAACCTCATTGCAAAAAAATCCTGTGGGAAAAAAATCTAATGAGGGAAAAAGAGTGCACCGAATTCCCCCCAATGATGAGCCGAAAAGGTGAAACCCTGGTCTGAAATGAGTGGCAGTATTCTTGCCGAAGGCTATCCTTGTCTGAGGGCGTGTGTGTTGCTTTGTCGAAGGCTTGCTTCTAATATCCTGGGAGATGCCGAAGGGGGAGCCCTTAATTCATTAGAATGAGGGCGCGATGAATGTAGGTGATATTTCCTGTGTTGTCGAGGGTTCCCTTGTTTGTTGACAAGTGGGGGGCTGTGGTGCCCCGAGGGGCTTCCTTGTCGCGTAGCCTGGGGCAACCGTTGATGAAGGTGTGCTCCCCGGGGGCTACGTGGTCCTCAATGTGTTTGAGGGTTGAGTGTTCCCGAGGGGTGTGCCCGTTGTGAAGCCGTGGGTTTCTGAAGGAGTGAGCCCGAAGGCACTTGTGACGTTTTATGAGGGGCATTGGCCGGGAGCACCTCTGGGTAAGTGTACCCGGGGGCTCCTCTTGATGAAGTGGAGTGAAGGAGACAGCCCGGGTTCCCAGAATATAGCTGTTGTACTAGAGCCGTTGGAAGATGAAACGTCGGAAATATAGCCGTTGGAGGGGGGCCTCCACGTGGCGTGCGTTCGTTGGCTGCCTATGGGCGGGCGTCACCGATTGGGCAACTCGACGGTTTGTAATGATGGTTTTGTAACCGGAGGCCCGGTTTCCGGCCCAAGCCCATATTTGCGGTGCCTATAAATACCCAAGGCCAAGGACCGCTCCTCTTGTGCGATCATTGTTGTTAGCGAAGCTCTGCCGAATTTTCTAGAGAGAGAAGCTCCAGCCTTCGGTCAAAACCAGTTCTCAGAGGTCAGTTCTTGCTCCGTTCTCAGCGATTCTTGCATACTTCGCTTCCCGGCCTTAGATTAAGTGTTTGTAGCCTAGAGTCTTTAGAATCTCCCTCCGAGCCCTCGGTTTAGTATCAAAAATGTCTTCACAAAGTGATTCCCAAGACATTTCGAGGGAGCCTTCAGTTGAGGCGGAAACATACTCTGACATTGAGCCTTCGAGCGAGGAGTCTTCGGCGGGTGATGACGCTGCTGTGGCCATGGAGGTGGAGAAGGACCTCAGGGCCGAGGTCGAAGCCGAGGACTTCGAACAAGTAAACGAGGACGAAGAGCTCGCCTTCGCTGTGCAGACTGCTGAGGAGGAAGAGGAGAAAGAGAGAATGAGGGTGACTGTCGTTATCCTTCCCCCTCGCGGTGTCGGGGAAGCCAGCACCTCTCGGCCCTTGAACCCGACGCCTATTAGTGTGGCTCCTGGGAAAAAGAAGAAGACGAGGGCTGCTCCGAAGAAGAAACAAGCAGCCGTGGATGTCGGGCGGCCAGTAGGTATACCCGAGGGCCACTCCTTCCTGAACACCGCCGCTCTAGAGTTGAAGACGAGGGCATCCCCGACGGAGTACCAGGCCATTCAAATCCTGGTTGGCCCTTCGGCACGTGTGGTGGAGTCAGGGGCTGATGATCTCTTACGATACGCACCCGAGGGCTGCTTCGCTGTTCATACCCTGTCAGTGGAGATGGGGCTCCGCTTCCCGCTCCACCCCATCTGAGGTTCGTGGGGCTGGCCCCCTGTCAGCTAACGCCCAACAGCCATTCCTATGTGGCCGACTATCTCTCCTTGTGCCGGAGCCGAGGGGTTCCACCTACCCTCGACCAATTCTTCATGTCTTTCAACTTGTGCCGGGGGGGGGGGGGGGGGGGGCATTCGAACGCTGAGGGCTTTGCCAACCTGCAGCAAGTACCGGAGTTCAGGCTTTTTGATGACGTGCCTTCGTCCCACAAGGGATGGAAGGATAGGTACTATTACATACGCCTGGAGGAGAACCCCTTTTCGGCTCCGCTCCGCAACAGCTTTCGGCGTCATCCGAAGGTATGGAGTGCGGCCCTGGAGAAGAACGGCAGGATACTCGCCAAGAAACCAGAGGGGTCTGACAAGCATGTGAAAATCAAAGACGTTACCCTCCCGGACGAACTGTTCAAGCTCGGCTTCCAGCAGTATCGGCCGAGGGGCTCATCGGATGAAAGATACCCTCCAATAGATCGCGTATTCGAGGGAGCCGGAGGTGAATATCGAAGGGTTATGCGTTTTGTACTTAGAGAATTTTTCTTCGTTTTTTTTTGTTCAATCCACGTCATTGTAATTGATACCCCTCGGCCTAATCATTTTGTGTCTTATCTTTGCTGGTAATAATATGGACGTGAGCTCTCTCTTCGCCCTGAAGAACGCCAAAGGGAAGAAGAAGGGTCCAGTGGGCGCTTCTGCCAGGGAGGAGTCCTCCCAGGCTGCTACTGCCGGTGCTGGTGCGGGGGCGTCCAAAGGTGCTGGGGCCATTAAGAAAAAGAACTTTGGTAAGGGGACCGAGCCCCCGGCCAAGAAGTTGAAAGTCGCGGCCTCCGGCAAGCAGCTGGCCGCTGACGTTGTCGTCATCGTGGACGATGGGCACGCCTCCGCCCCTACCCCTCAGGAGCACATCAACCAAGACTTCTTCGGCCGGGAGAAGTTGGAGGCGATCGTGCCGAAGGGGGCATCCGTGCTAGAGGGTAGCCTCAACCCATCGGCGTTGATGAGCCAGATGTTGCCCTCGGCCGATTGGCTGGCCCTCACTAGGATGGACGAGGGCTCCCTTGAGGCCAAGATTCTGCTGAGCAGTGCCTCCGTGAGTCACGCTTTTCCTTTTCCTTTGTATTCGCTTTTGTTCTTACGTATTGCGTTCACCATGTCTAACTGTTATCCTTGTTGACTGTAGAACTTCATTGGCCTCTGTGAGTATCTCCGAAGGGTGGAGCAGATGAAGGAGGCGAAGGGTGCTGCTGAAGGGGAAGCTGCCAGCCTTAGAAAGAGGCTGGCTGAGGCCGAGGATTCCCTTTGCTTGGCCACTTATAGCATGGAGCAGTGAGTGCAAGCTGCGAGGGCCGAGGGGAAGAGCGAGGGCCTGGCTGAGGCCGGGAAAGCTGCTACCAAAGCCGCTCGCGTTGCTGCCGAGGAAGCCCGTGTGGCTAAAGAAGAGGCCGCCGCCAAGGCCCGGGAGGATGTTGTACCCGCCTTTACTGCCGAGGGGTGGAAAGCAGAGGAGCAGGAGTGGTTGTCCTCGGTGGTGGAGGCTTCAGTGGATGCTTGGGTTGGAGGCCCCGGCAAAATGTGGCTTGCTGAGAAGGGTGACTCCTATTATCAAGGTGGGAGTTTTTCACCCAGCGCCTCATCTACCGAAAGCTTGCCAGGCACTTCAAACTTTCGTCGGAGGAGTTCTAGTCCGAAGCTTATGGCCTTCCCCCTCGGCAACCAGACGTCAGGGTCCCCCTCCCCGAAGGTGAAGAGAGGCCGGTGCTTGAAGATTCGGAGACCCTCAGGGAATGCGACCTCGGCGGTGCTGGAGATGAGGCCGAAGGCAAAGCCACCTCCAAAGCTGTCGACGGGGGCGACGCCGCGGCTGCCGATTTGTAATTTGTACTCTGAACAATTCTTGATGCTCCTTTGTAATCACATTGTTAACTTTTGGTTCCAGTCCTTATGAACACCCTGCCCTATGTTTTTGATGAATTGATGCCTCCGGGCTTTTGTATATAATATGTTTTA